ATAAACAACTCTATAGTACAATTTCAGCTGTGAGCTAATCCCAACGTTCACTCTCTATACTATAAGCCAAGTACTGAATTTTGCTAGAAATGCCTCCCTTTAAACATGCATGCTACCACGAATGTAAGATATTTGGTTCCAGTTGATGCTCCACATAGCTGATGAACTTTTACCTTCTTAATGAAATCTCTCTTTCACATTTTCAGCAATTGTCCTGCCTTTATGTTCAAGGCTCTTCACTCCCCTACCCTTGCTCTTAATAGTCAAACATCTCTGTTAGTTGGAAATTTCAATTTGTGAGATGTGAATGTTTTGCTCCTTGGTACCTTTCACTGAGATTCCCCACACTCACCTTCCCTTCAGAAGGGTCACAACCTCTTCACTGCCGACCATGACCCATGATGTCTATTTTCTAAACATCCTCCAGGGTTTTAGTCCATCTCCCTTTTTCTTGGCCTTCTCATTAGCTTTTTAAAATGTATAATTTTTATGAATTGTCACTCTCCATGGGGGGGATAATTAGCAAGAAAAGTGGTTTAGATTTATGAAGAGACCACCTTTTAACCACTATTACTATGAGATATCCCTGTGCTATTCCCCAGAAAGTTTCTCAAAAGTTTTCCCTCATTTCATGTTCATTTCTTCAATATCCTATAGTTCATATACTGTTTCTTATATTTCACTGAAACTGTTTCATCAGAGTAATGAATAGCTTTCTAATTATAAACCCACTGAATCATTTTTTTTTTCAACATTTCTGACCTCCCGGAACAGTGGTAATATTACCACTTGTTCCTTTGTGTTTAGGAAACAGGTTTCATTCACTTGTCTTTCTCCACATCCTACAGAATTTTCTCTTCCCTTGCCTACTGTTTAAAGATCTCTCCATACTGATTTCCAGTTATCTTTACTCTGTACGCACTCCATGAAGACAGTGTACACTTACCTAGTTAACTACAAACCAGTGTTTACAACTTTGTGTTCTTCTAGTGTCGATTCCTGCAATTAAGTTCAGACATATATCGATCTCTGCTGAATATTGCCCCAATTATCTCAAAATTGTCACGAACGAGGCCTTCCCCACTTATTATTCCTGTCCAATGATAGCCTACTGTTCCACAAACAATTGACTAAATACAAAATTTGGAATACAAGGCCAAAATTTTTCTTTTTCTTATCTGAGCCTCTAGATCATCTACAAAATGTGTGTGCTAAGTTGTTTACACATCTATACTTGTTCCTCAAGCTGTGCCCCGATTCCCTCGGTTTGGAGCCTCTTCATTTCTACACATAACAATGATGTCTAACTGGTGTCATTGCCTGGAGTATTTCTTTCCTCCAATCCATCTTCCATGAAATTACCATTAATATTTCATCTAAAATAAAATCTGATCATGCCACTTGCCTTCTTTAGAACCCTTCAGTGAAACTCTGGTGCCTATAAAAACCTTGCACTTTGCTATTATAGACTGTATAACCCTCCATGACCTATCTAACTCTCTTACCCTATCTCCTGCCATGTCCTGCCTCTTACTTTATGCACTTGAAATGAAATGACTTGCTGTTTTTCTCATGCACCATGCTGTTTCACAGCTCTATGCTTTAACTCATGCTGCTTAACTGCCCTGAATGCACTTCCCTACATTCTTTGCTTGGCTAACTCTTACTCATCCTTAAAACTTTAGTTCCCACCATGCAGTCTTCTCAGGAAATGTTCCTGCACCCCACTCCAGCCTGTGTGTAAATACTCAGAACTTCCACGCAGCTAATACATCCCCAAGGACTTGTGTTTATGTCAAGCTGAAATTTCTGTTCTTTTTAACCCTCCTAAATGTGAGCATCTCATCAGTAAGGATCACAATTTTTCTTTGGGATGGATTCTTTTAAGATCCTCAGCATGCTGCAGTGAGATATAAAACTTTTATTTTTCCAGTAACACACTAACTATGTCAACACCTGCTTTTTCTCCCTCAGTGGAGGATCCTCTCTAATGACCAGTTACTCATTTCTGTAACTTATCAACAATTTTAGTCATTAGACGAGCAGACTTGCAGTTCCTTAGACCCAGATATATGTTTTTAAACTATTTAGTATTTCATTAAATGCTCTTTTAAAAATTTCTTCTACTCCTGCAACGATACAACTGGTTCTCTGTAACAGTGGCTACTTACAGCTATATTTTGTAAGGCAAGTATCCACACAGGCATATTTTATGGCACTTAAGGGAGATAGAAATAGAAAATGATACTCTCATGTGATTTCCTGTTGGGCTGATTAATCTCGATTGTCAACTTGACTGGAATTGGAAACACCTGGAAGTATGATTGGCTTGCGCGAAGACTAATACCATCAGGGAGCTAACCCCACTGAGAGTACATAGCTGAATGCGGTCTTAGCTTGGATGTTAGGAAATGTATCTTTCCTGGCGCCACTTCTCAGATTCTTCTCCTGCTCTCTGCTTCCTGGATGTAATCAAATGGAGCCACTTTCCTTTGCCATACCCTTTTACCATGCTGTTTCTACCCTGGATCCAGCAAACCATGAACCAAATCCCCTGAAATGATACGCTAAAATAAACTTGTCCTCTTTTAAGTTTAGGGCATCAGATACTATGTCCCAGTGATAGAAAGATGGCCGATACACCTCTCAAAAGAGATTAGAGAGGTTTTAATCTGCACACGTGTGCACATTCACATCGCTATTAATGTTAATTTTTTTTCCAAATTTACTAAATGTTCTGGGCCGAGTAACGAGGATGGGATAGTTAGCTTTTCAAGCATCATCTTTCTTCGAGATTGTCAAAGGTGTTAAGCGCTCATTTATCCATCTGCTCCAGAACTTTAAAAGTATGGTGAATCTTTCAAGTTAGTAGAGACTCTTGAGGTTTCTCTCACTCAAATAGAACTGCACAGAAGAAGGATTATTTATCACTATAGCTCTAGCCTAAAAATACACATTCCCTCCTTTCATTCAGTTGATAATGACAATGATTAGCAGACAATGTTCTTCTCAGACCCAGAAGCATAAAATTCCATAGATTCCTGAAATCATACTACTTAAATTTATTCCAAAAACGTTCATTAGCCTACTATGTGAAAATCATCTAGTAGACACTAGCCCAATCACAATGAACAAAGAAGATAAAAGTTTTCATGTAGATCTTAGTTTTGAGCCTTAGTAGGCTGACATAACACACATCTCATAGTTTTTGTGACTTTAAATCACAATCATCTCTTGCTCAAGTCATATTCTATATAGGGATAAAATTCCACTATTTAGAAAGTTGGCAGGCAGGGCACTAGGTCAAAAAGTAAGTCTCCACTCAGCAATTAAATGCTACTTTATTCACATTAAATTTGGCTGGATTAGTAACATGATCTATCAGTTGGCTGGGAAAATACGAAAATATTCTCATTGCAAAAAAATATGAAAAATGAATTAAATATTCAAGGTGCATAAGAGGAAAATCACATTCTCTACCTTTTGATTGTGGCTTCAGTCTCTAAGTTGCCTCCACTGCAAACCTGTGCCTTCTGGTCTACTGCACAGTAGTCGGATCTAACTAACTACATCAGAGGTATGGTGATGATCCAGCCCTACCCTGCAAAGAAGATAAATGAAACCAAAAGCTTCTTACTCAGAATATTTCTCTTCTATTTGAATGATTAATTTCTTCTATAGACATAAAATATTCTTTAAGAATTAAAGGATTACTGAAATCTGTATAAGTAACAGGTAAACAAGATCAGGGTATTTCAACTTGAGAATTATTAACATTTTTGTCTGCATGATTCTTTATGTGTAGTGTGCCTCTTGAATATAGGGGGCAATCCTGTGCATTTTAGGGTTCTTTTATTTTTGGTACCAGGGATCAAACTCAAGTCCTTGCGCTTGCCAGACAGGCAGCAGAACCACTGAGCTAAATCCCCAGCCCTTAGGGTTCTTAATAGTACCCCAGTTACCTACCCACCAGATGCCAACAGCACCAAGCCCAAGTTGTGTCAGAAAGATATGTCCATCCACAGCATTAGCACACGATCCTAAGCAGAACAAATTTTCAGAAGAAAAGTTACGGTTTACAGAGACACATTTACCTAGAAGAACTTACTAAAACTCTAGGGATCCTCATGTTATTTTTCTCTTCTAAACTGTTAACATCATTGAATGAATCTCTCTAGCCTTCCCATTCCAGAAAAATATCACTCCATAAAATTTTCTTAAAGTCCTGCACTTGTTACTGCAAGTTCAGTAGTAACTGGCTGCGGCTAGTTTGAGTTTCCTGAACTAGTACTACTGGTTTTAACAATGTCTCTTCCTCAAGGATCACATTTCTGTATAGCTTATAGGGATCTAAATGGCTCCTCCATTGAAGGAAAGAGGAAGGAAGAAGTTTGAGCATAATTCTACTAACACTAGAAAGAAATCTTAACTTAAACTCTCTTAAACCTGAAGGAAATTTTTAGTCTTAGAAAGCAGAGGTTTCAGAAGCAAGATGAGCTTCATTATTGGTACACTGGTCTAGCAATGTCAAAATTCTTTGATTCTTTCCATTTCTCCAGCCTAACATCCATGGGATGTCACTGGGAATTGATGGCGACGTTAATTTGGGGTAATATAACATGACACAACAGATCCAAGGCAAGAGTAGAAACTGTCTCTGTGTGGGTCTCTATTAAAGGTAAGAAACACTCTAAATAGATCTGAATTGCTCTAAAAGCACTCTAAATAAACCTGAATAGATCTAAAAACATCCAAATAACATGCTGCTAGATAGGGATTTAGAAAGCCAAGGTTACTCCAAGTTATCCCGTCTTGGAGTAGATGAATTTCTAACTCTGGGCTTCAGTTTTCACACCTGGTAAGAGATTTGATCAAATAATCTTTAAGAAAACACAATTCTACTGCTTTAAAACTCTGTCAGCCTCCATGGCATACGTACATTTTAGAGATCAAATATACAATTGGGATCTGAGCACTTCAAAGAGGCTTCAGGTGAGTTGCTTCTTTCTTTGGAGAACAGATTTATTTCTCTTCAGAGTACTTCATTGCTGAGTTTTGTTTTACTCTCTTTTGTGACGTGAATGACTCGCAGAACCTGAAGGTGTTACCATGCGGAGGGGGTGAATTTCCTTTCAGTCCTTCTCAGGTCCCAGAGGCACTACCCATCTCCAGCTCATCCAATCAATAGCCAGTTACAGCTGAGGAGAAACAGTGAGTAAAAATTACAGAATCGATCTGTCCTAACCCGCTTGGGCCATCATTCACTCTCTGCACTTCCGAGGTTGTGAGGGGACCACTCAGGTTAATGGAAACACAGTGGCAGCTCTGAACCTGTGTCTTCTCATTTCTCCTCTTCTGCCCCACAGTGAATGCATAGGTCTAAGAGAGTCAGAAAAGCCAGGCGAATCACAATGGATATTCTCATCCAGACACCTTTCAAAATTCGCCACCACTAATAAAGACATCTACTTACCGACCAGGGGAGAGGGAAGATAATTTGGGAAACTGAGACAGAATTTCATCCCACCCAGAGAAATATTGTGGTATAATAGTTAAATATAATTAATCAAACATGTGTAAGCTGAGATCAAAATTGTTTTTAAATGATTACTTGTGGTTTTGATGCACTTGAATATTACTTGTGTTTAAATGATCTTCTTAGGAAAGCTGTGGTTAAGTTCAAACTGTTATACTTTCTAATGATTTTCTGAGGTTCCTTTGCAGGTTTTTTTACAAATACTAAACTCTCTAATACCACAGAGTTCTGTAAGTCAAGTTAAATTCTAATTAATCCATTTCATAATGTTGAACAAGTAATTTAGCCTTTTCCTTAAAGTTAAGTGGTTGTGTAGGCTCTATACTCTTTTCTGGATATAAAATTATTAATCTGTGATTATTTTATTTGAATTTCAAAGGAAAGTTTCATACAATAGTTATTTGCAAGCTTAGGCACAATACAACCTCAATTAATTCCACATTGGTTTGAGGCCTGGAATTCAAAAGAGTGGAGTGAAATTTAAAATTATTTTTAGTTTTCTTGTTCTAAAGCAGGAAACATTTGTTTTTTAAATAAAAAAAAACATTATTAATAGTTATAAAAAGGAAACTGCAGAGTTCATAGAATTTCCTTTTGAATTTGAAACAGAATCTGACCAAAGTAGTCATTTGAGCTTCAACTGAATGAGATAAAAGGGAAAGAATAACAAAAAATGGAGGTGGAGAATAAAATACAAGTCAGCACATGTTAAAATCAGTTCATTTTAGCCTCATTTTCAGCTGAGGCCACCCGATAGTTGATGTTCACATCCTAAAGCAAAGTCAGAGACAATTATGCAAAAGGAGGGTTAGAGAAAGGAATAAAATCGGTAGTATGTTGTTGAAACAGAGATTTTATTAGAGAATGCTATCTGAAATGGAGGGTGATACCTCTCACTCTACACTGGAATTGAAACTTGGAGCAGTGCTTAGCTTAATGTTTCCCTTGTAAACACTGGATTTTCTGCTTCCCACTTAAGAAATCTGAAGCGGGGCAGGTTGTCCTTCTAGCATGTCTGAGCAGCAGAGAGATTAGCAGCTACTTGCCCCAGGTAGTAAGGCGAAAGCTGTGAGTATTTTCTGAGGATTGCAGTTAGGCAAGAGGAAAATATTTGACTTGAACTTGTCTCTAATGCTGCACTAAAGGATTCCTTGGAAAAGAGAGATGCTCCTTTCTGGGTAGCAGAATATTGGATTTACTTAGGACTAAGAATGTGATTATAAACCATAAATTGGTGCATTTAAATTAATAAAGGAACTGACAGCAAATTATCATAAGCTACGGTGGATACAAGATGCATCCTTTTGCGAAAGAATCAACAAGACAGGTACCAAGTTCAGCCATGCCACTTTCAACCTTATCCTTGAAGCATTCCTCTTTCGCATCCAACTCTGTCCTTCCAAAAGTGCAAAACAACAGACAGAAAGATGACAAACAGGAAGAGAGAGAAGTACAGACACGAGGCATAAAGGCAAGGGACTCAATCGTACACTTTTCTCCATGAAACGCCAGATTCAAAAGAGGAAGTTAAAGGATAGGAAAAGCTTTTCATTTGATAACATTCAAAATTCTGGATATTGCAAAGTCGTGAGTATATTAAATATAGAACTGGGACAGTTCATATAACCTTATGGTAACTAGAAAACTTAAATTTCTTCTGAAATTGGATTCAGGGCAGCAGAAGAACTGACCTCTGGGAATATTTTTAATAGTTGATATATATCAGGGAAGGTCAGACACAAAAATCACCCTTTTATCAGCACCTTAACAAATCAAAAGTTTGCTGTTTACATTATGTGTCCCAGAGGATTGCCAGCCGTTCTGCTATTTTTAGTCACCCAAGGGTTTCACATGTTTGTTCATCTTCATTTACCAGGGCGGAATACAGGACACATCACACCATATGGTTTAAGGTAATAAAAGTACTTTCCACACAGGTTTCATAGGTTGAGGCAAGTAACAAGTTGCTTCTAACTTCATAGGTGGAAGATAGTTTTTCCTATCATGTGTTTAGGGAGGAGAAAGCCTAAATTATTTTTGAAGAGTGGTAAGAGTAACACTTCATTAAGTTAAGGCATGAGGCAAAAAGTCACACCATGAGATGCTATTTTTTTCGTATCTGGTACAGATTTTCCCTGTCATTAGCCCTTAAGCAGCAAAGTTTAACAGCTTTTCATATGGCATTTATGCTGTATTAGATGTTGTAAGTAATTTAAGGTGATTTGAATTACATAATATACATATGTATAGATTACATGGAAATACTAAGGCATTTTATATACTGTGCTTGATTATGCATAGGTTTTAGCGCCCTTCTGGGAGCCAATCCACTAATCATCCAAAGATGCTAGGATAAACATTTCACACACACACACACACACACACACATGCACACATTCTCTCTCTCAGTATCATTTATGGTCACGTAATTGTCATTACATGATACGCCCTACTGATATTTCAAAATAATTTTGTATTACATGTTTAATTTATGTGATCCTAGAAGGAAGAGTTGCTTAAATGCTGAAAAAATGCAATTAAGCTTGTCCACCAAAATGACAAAAAGCCTAAATATGATTTTTTGGCTTTGTTTGAATTGCATCATTTCCTCTTTTGTATTTTTGCGTACTCTTGAATAATCCCAAGTCCCATGGTTTTAATGAAGTGTGATGCAATGCTTTCCCAAACTACATCTTTTGACTTGATTCCTCCCAGACTCATTTTCAAGGCCTGCTCTGGTATGGTTATGTAGATGTCCCACACCCATCTCAAAGTTTATGTGGCTCATATTGACTTTGAATCTTTGTATTGCACACAGTACTTTTTTCTCTCATTTTCTCAGTTTTGTAATGACAATACCAAACTTCCTTAAAATTATTTTTGATCTTTTTATTTTCATTACTTCCTTTCCTTTAATCTCTATCTTCAAGCTTTGTTCATTTTACTCTCTAAAATATGTCCCAGCTCTAACCACCACTTTCCTTCTGTAAAATTATTACATATGCCTGAGTCAATATTATTTCTCCTCTGGACTTCAATTTCTCCTTTTTTTTCATTGATTTTTTTTTAGGATATTATGAGCTAATTGGAAATTTGAAGTAGGTTGGCTGCACTGAGTATGTATAACATTCAGGTAGGGCATAAGGTGACGAGACAGCTTCAAACACATACTAATTTTGCTCTCTTCCACATATACAAAAACATAGTAGTTCTCCCACTGGTTTGGACATTTTAAAGTATAATAACCCCTGGTAACTCCACTAAGTATTATAACCCCTCCAAACTCCCTTCATATGCTGCCACTGATGATAGTAAGTGTGTGGTAATTCTACTTTTCACAATATGTGAAGATTTGTCTGCTCGTCTACTTTCCTCATTTGTTATTAGATCCTAAAAGATAAGAAATAAAAAGTATATTTTGTTTTATTTTTTTTCTATCTTTGAAGTTCTATGCATAAAAGAATGCATGGTAAATAATACAGGATTGGTAAATTCTTGTTAATGTTCTAGGAGTTTTCAAGACCTAGAAGCAACATTTAACACTTGTTGCAGCTTGACACTCCATGTTAAAAAAAAAAAAAAAAAAGCTCAATCTACTCAATGTACCAAAAAAAGTCCTTCCAAGTAACACGATTTTTTTAGTTTACAAGGAAATATTACCACCTTTGAGAGTTATACATATGAAAAGAGCAACATCTTAACTACAGAGGGAATCACATTCCTTAAGAACTATGTGGAATCTAATTTTACCATTAAATAATTAAAAAAACCAAGAAAATACGGATTCCAGCTTATTGGTGTCATCTGTTAACAATCTTAACATTTATCAGTGGTTCCAAATGAATTTTTGAATTTGACTCAGCTAGAGTCAACAGAAGAAATTCAACATATCTGCTGTAATACTTTTTATATTTGTTTTATTCCATTAAAAATCAATATTTTCTTTCTTAATTTTGAGACTTGAACTATATAAATATTTGGTGCATGTGCATTTGTGTGTGCGTGTGTGTGTGTGGGCTGGTGCAAGGTTACTTTCCTTATTTTTTGAAAGCAAGCGATTTGGTTATAAGGCAAGAGAAAGAATGTGGATCATTCAGCGAATACAATGATAAAAAGCACATATCAGCAGAGGGTCAGTAGCATCATTTATTGAATTGAAGAATAGAATTTTTATCAATGTTTCTTGTCCCAGAGTGGCAATTCAGGAGTAAATCATAGCACTGATTATAGTCTATAAAAAGATTTCGGAGTCTTCTAATGGAGGTAATTATTTTTTCCTGGTTCTTCTGTGTAACAGAATTCAGACATACTGATTTCCAGTCATATTAACTTAGAAATAATATATGTTCAGTTAAGTTATGGCTCTTGATCATGTCACTTGAAGTCTACACCATCAATTACAGAGTATTGGAAAGATTTTCCTGCTGTTATAAAATTCAATATCATATTATAGGAAAATATATTTTGTTTTCATTGAAGATAAGTTATAGCATTTGAAACAAATAATATGTCTTAATTCCTTCATAATATACTCTGGGATCATAGGAAATAAGAAATGTCCTATGACCTTGGATTATTAAGAAAGGTTGCCTGAATATATCTTTTTATCTTTTCTTATTCTATGGGGGTACTTTATACTTTAGGCCTTTTTAAATCTAAGGT